GAAAAAAGCAGTTGGACCATAAACCGCCTGGTGCCGGGGGGGAAGTGGGTCCTCCGGGCCATGGGTGGGGGTGGGGTGGGGGTAAAGTGGTTGGGGGAAGGGGGAAGTGAGAGGGGAAGAAGGGGGAGGATGAGAGGGGGAGGGAAGGGGAGGGATGAAAGGTGGGGAAGGGAATGAGAGAGTGGGGGGAAGGGAAGATGGGGAGGAGAGAGACGTGGGGGAGGGAATGGGAGGGGGAGATGAGAGGGTGGGGGAAGGTGGAGGATATTAATGATAAGATAGATAAGTGAGGATAAGAGACAGAAAATGGGGAGATGGGAGAGGGGGGGAGGGAGAGATAATTGATAGAGCGGGGGAGAATAGCGAAGAGGGGGAGGAATGGGGAAGAAGGGCGATGTCTGGCCAGGCGAAGGGGAGAGGGGTGGGACCCAAGGGTAGGGGGAGGAGGGGCGTGTGGTGGAGGCGGGACCGGAGGACGGGGTGGTAAGTGTGTCTCTTCCTGGTTAACTGCTTGTTTACAAATGGTCAATGAGAGACGGCGGCGGCTTAATGGCCAGGGAGAATGGCGCAGACCAAGAAAAAAGAAAGAGAGAGAGAGAGAGAGCGGGAGAGGTGAATGTCTCTGCACTGATACCCTTTTTTCAAGACTATCATTTCGGACGTCCAAAAATGGCGGTCGCTTTTAACAGGTGAAATCCAATAGCCTGTACGAGCGCGCTCGCAAGCACGCAACGCAGCACGCACATACGTGTACACATGCACACACACGTATGTATGTATGTGTATGTATAAATATATGTGTGTGTGTGTGTGTGTGTGTGTGTGTGTGTGTGTGTGTGTGTGTGTGTGTGTGTGTGTGTGTGTGTGTGTGTGTGAGAGAGAGAGAGAGAGAGAGAGAGAGAGAGAGAGAGAGAGAGAGAGAGAGAGAGAGAGAGAGAGAGAGAGAGAAGAGAGTGAGAGAGAGAGAGAGAGAGAGAGAGAGAGAGAGAGAGAGAGTGAGTGAGTGAGTGAGTGAGTGAGTGAGTGAGTGAGTGAGTGAGAGAGAGAGAGAGAGAGAGAGAGAGAGAGAGAGAGAGAGAGAGAGAGAGAGAGGAGAGAGAGAGGGGAGAGAGAGAGAGAGAGAGAGAAAGAGAGAGAGAGAGAGAGAGAGAGAGAGAGAGAGAGAGAGAGAGAGAGAGAGAGAGAGAGAGAGAGAGAGAAGAGAGAGAGAGAAAGAAGTGAGAGAGAGTGAGAGAGAGAGAGAGAGAGAGAGAGAGAGAGAGAGAGAGAGAGAGAGAGTGAGAGAGAGAGAGAGAGAGAGAGAGAGAGAGAGAGAGAGAGAGAGAGAGAGAGAGAGAGAGAGAGAGAGAGAGAGAGAGAGAGAGATGAGAGAAAGAGGGAGGGGAGAGAGAGAGAGAGAGAGGAGAGAAGAGGGAGGAGAGAGAGAGAGAGAGAGAGAGAGAGAGAGAGAGAGAGAAGAGAGAGAGAGAGAGAGAGAAGGAGAGAGAGGGGGGGGGGGGGAGACAGACCGGAAAAAAAGAAAAAGAGCGATGAAAAGGAGAATCCAAAACGAAAACGAAGGAACAAAACAGAGAGGAAGAAAAGAGAGATTGTGAATAAAAAAAAAAAAAAAAAACACACACAAGAAGAAAACGAGTGATTGATTTCAAAAGATACTTCTTACTCTAACATGATCTAATTAGTCGCGAATTACCGGCAAACGCCTTATAATTAGGAGACCGAGACTGTGACGTCACAAGAGGAAAAAAAAGGGTGTTAACGTTTTTTTTTTCTTTTTTTTTTTTACATTGTTGTTGCTTCCGTGTTTTTTTTTTTTTTTTTTTTTTTTACTTACCGAACAATTATTTTTCCATCTATATTTACCTACTGAGTTCGAATATATTCACAGCTTGTGGTCTACTATTATGTAATCACGAGTTAAACTTTATACATAACATTAATGCTCATTTACCTAGCGGGTATTCTGGCGATAAATTGATGCAGAAGGATATATGCAAGTTTAAAAAGAGGCTGAAGTAAGCATTAAAAGAATATCAACCAACTCTAAGATAAAAATTAATAATAATAATATCAATAAAAAATAATAATAATAACAACAATAATGATTGCAATAACAATAACAGCAGCAACAACAACAATAATAATAATAATATCAATAAAAATGAATAACTAATAAAAACAGACAAACAATGATACAATAATAATAAAATGAAAATAATAATAACAATAATATAAAATATAATAATAATAACAAAAAATAATTAAATGACATAAATAATAATAATAATAATAATAATAAAATAATAATAATAATAAAAATAATGATAATACAATATATAATAATAAATAATAATAAATAATAAAATAATAAAATGATAATTAGATAATATTATAATGAATAATGATATGACAATGCTATAATAATAATGTAATAATCATAATAATAATAATAATAATGATGATGATAATATGATGATACTGATGATGATACTGATAATGATGATGATGATGATGATGATGATGATGATGATGATAATAATGATAACAACAACAACAATAATACCGATGATAGAATGAACAATAAAACTTTAACGCGCCGATGCCTGCCTCGATCCAAAAGGCAAGCGACACCTGATAAAGACATTTTTTGTGTTATCAAGAAAACCAGGTTGGCGGACCTAGTGACCTCGCATGTACAGCCGCCGCCTAATTAAATACACATGACATCGGATAATGGGCCGGACACCTCGCAGCAACTTTCCTCAGAGCACAAGACACTTTTCTTCACTTTTCTTCAATCCGAAAAACGTTCATAGAGTCCCTTTTTTATCCACTTATAGAGTCCCTTTTTATTCATTTATAGAGTCCATTTTTATTCATGTATAAAGTCCCTTTTATCCATTTATAAAGTCCCTTTTTATCCATTTATATTCCCTTTTTATCCATTTATAAAGTCCCTTTTTATTCACCTGTTGATTTATTTTTAATCTTACGAGTCACGCAGCATGTAAAGCACATTCCTCAAAGTTACAAAAGCCTGCCTGGTTCGCGGGCGGACATCGACAGCCCGGGATCGTCGTCCAGGGGCGAGTGACGCAATCTGGGTCCGATCTGTTGTCCCGAGTCCCAAGGTCGAGTTGCCGTCGGTTCGACACGGTTCCAGGGCGCGCAGCTCGTTGTCGTCCGGGTACAAGGCGGGTATGAGGCGGGTACAAGGTGCAGAGGAAGCCCTTGGTCGGTTACCTGGCCCCGGGAACGTGGCCGAGTTCGTGGAAAACACGTCATTCTTCGGCCCTGCTGGAGGAAGGTCTTGGCGGCTGTGGCTCGCGACGCTACGCCTTATACACAAGGAATAACTAGCTTCATTTGCAGGTTTTACTTCTCAGTCCATCTGTTTATTCCTGTATCTGTTCATTGTCCATTGTTTGTTTGTTCATTTATTTATCTATCCATGTATGCATCTATGTCTCTGTCTATGTATCTATTTGTTTATCAATGTATCTTTTTCTCTATCTATTTACCTGTTTGATTGCACACTTACTCTTTTATGGCGCTTCGTAACTCTAGACGAATACAATCTCTTGTAATTAAATTACCCCGTGTTCCTTCCCATGACTGGCATCTTCTTCTCCCTCTCCTTTCGGTTATCTCCCAGCTTCCAGTGGAGCGCCCTCGTAAACGCTCTCCCTTTCGCCGTATGCAAATCTCGCCGCTCATCATAACAATCAACACATTTAATCAAGTGTTGATATTACGGCCGCTCTAATCCCCCGCACGATGCGAGCCGCCGACCGCATCTCAACGTGCGATATCAGCGGATAACACAACTGAAGTTTATCCTCCACTAATCGCGCAATTACATTTTTCTTTCCCTTCCTCCATCTCCGCGTTTAACATACCTGCGTGATTATCATATAAATTGCATTACGGACTTCGCTCAATGTATCAAAAGCATCATCAGACGAAAATCCAAAGTCATTGTTACTAATTCGCGTCCGGACCGACCACCGCCTCCTGCGAGCATCCCCCCTCTCATCCTCCTCCTCCTCCCCTCATCTTCCTCCTCCTTCCCCGCCTCCGTCTGCGCTGCCGCCACGAGTAAAGCACTGAATGAAGCCTCGCCTTCAGAAACCCCGCCGACTGAAACCCAGCTGGTTCTCGTTCCACCTTCCTCCTCCCTCCTCCCTCTTCTTCCTCCTCCTCCACCTCCGACACCAGAGTAAAGCCACGAGTAAAGCACAGACGCCACCTGAATGAAGCCTCGTTTTACGAAACCCAGCGGAATGCCGCTTTGCTCGTGCTATCCCCCCTCTTCGCTCCTTCTTCTTCTTCTCTCTCTCTCCTCCTCCTTTCCTCTTCTCTCCTCTTCTTCTTCCTCCTCCTCCTCTTCTATTTCCTCGTCTCCTCCTTCTCCTCCGCCTCCATCTGCCTTGCCGCCGCGAGTAAAGCACTGGCACCACCTGAATGAAACCTCCCCATCTGAAAAAGCCCGTCGCCTGAAACCACCTGGCTCGTGCACACCTTCCCTTCGCCCCCTTCCTCCTCCCCTTCTCTCTCCTCTCCCCCTCCCTCCTTCCTACTTCCTCCTCTCCTCCTCCCTTCCTCCTCTTCCTCCTCCCCTTCCCCTCCCCTACCTCCTCCCCTTCCTCCTCCCCTTCCTCCTCCCCTGCCGTGCGTGCAACGAGTCTCCCCGGGTGTACGTGGTAGGCACATCACACGGTGTTCATCATCTCTAATCACTTTCGAACACCTGTAGTACACGGGGCCAATCAGGCTGGGACACAGGGGGATCACCCAGGGGAATCTCAGCCATGCGATCTCGCGAGGTGCGCAGAGGGAGGGGGAGAGGGGAAGGGAGGATGGGGTGAGAGCGAGGATGAGGGCGAGGGTTGTGGGTGAGAGTGTGGGTGTGGATGAGGGTGAGGGTGAGGGTGAGGGTGAGGGGAGGTGAGGGTGAAGGGGGAGGGGAGAGTGAGGTGAGGGCGTGAGGTGAGAGTTAGATGAGGGTGACGGTCAGGGAGTCGCAATGTAGAACAAGGTAAAGAAGCGAAGACAAGGGGAAAGGAAAGAGGAGAGAAAGCAAGAGAGAACAGGGGATGGAGAGAAACCAAAGAGAGAGAGGAGAGGAGTAAGTACACACAAAGGAGAGGGAAAGAAGACCAAGCCAAGAAGGAGGAAAAGACGAAGAACCACAGAGGAGGAAAAGAAGAAGAACCACAAAACGAAAAGAGATAAGGAAAAGAATTACAAGGGGGAAGCAAAGAGAAGATACGCGAGGCCTGGGGGTGGGGTGGGGGTAGGGGGGGGTAGGGGCAAGTCTAGCGTTACACACCACATGCTAATTTTCTCATCCGAATCGCCATGATTATTCAGATTTCGCCGAGTGTTTATCGTCCCACGAACATCCGAGCCGAGAGAGAGCCGGGCTTCGATCTCCACAAATCATGATTAGATTATCTCGAGTCAAGGATTTTTGAAGAACAAGAAGCATGGACGTTTATTTGGGACATAAATGAAGAGATGAGAGAGAGAGAGAGAGAGAGAGAGAGAGAGAGAGAGAGAGAGAGAGAGAGAGAGAGAGAGAGAGAGAGAGAGAGAGGAGAGAGAGAGAGAGAGAGAGAGAGAGAGAGAGAGAG